ACACAGCCTTAAGCCAAAACCAGAATCAGTCTGGAGGGTGTTCGAGGGGTCAACGCCCCTGGTTCGTGACTACGGTAAAAACAGTACTTACAAAACACACTACTTATACCATCAACGAGGAAACAAACTATTTTAATTTTAATTAAAACAAATGTGGATTCACATTTACACATGTCAGGACAATCATCTCCACCAGGTGCCAGATCAACCAGGCTGTGACTGATACGTGGGCCAGCAGGCCACCAGCACCAACAGCCTGGTTGAGAAGGCAAGCACCAGACGAGGCTGGCCCCAAGACCAGGCTCCAAGAGTAGAAAACCTCTCCAAAACAACAAGGTAAATCAAAGGTACTGGACCAGAGTAGGTCTCTCCTGTCCCTCAAATCTGTAACAACTCCGACAGCTTGGGATGACTAAACAAAACTGTAGAATACAGAGATTTTTGGAAAAAAAAAAAAACTTCAACATGTGTGATGGTGGTGTAACAGCGAACATAATGAGAGTAAAAGGTGAACTGGATAAAATGGACAGATGCATGTTTAATTTACAAAATCAGACACGGTGTAACAGTCAATAAGAGCAAATCAGAGACCGCCCTAGGAAGCGAGAAGAGACACACAGAACCAGGTATATGTAATTTGTCAGGCCCAGTGCAGGGAAGGAAGCACAAGCCAGGAGCTGCGACTCGACCCATGCAGCCACATACAGGTGAGCAGAAGTGTGGCCCACATACCTGTTAAATCACCTGAAAAAGTGAGATGCCAAAGGTTTGCAACCAGAACAGCACTAGAATTCAGAGGACTGACATATAATGAGACTCAAACCACGGAACGGGAGGGGCAAGGGGGGTTGAAATATACCTACTTGGATGCATCCTGTTAGAGTCAACTGGTCCAGTGGTTAACGCACTGGCCTCAGAGTTATAGGACTCACCTGCCATGGGTTAAACCCCCCACCTGTTCCCTGATTTGTTTGCAATCCTGTAATTACGATTTCCTGAGTCTACAATGGAAGACAAGAACCACAACTGACTACCATGGAAGACCAGAACCACAACTGACTACCATGGAAGACCAGAACCACAACTGACTACCATGGAAGACAAGAACCACAACTGACTACCATGGAAGACAAGAACCACAACTGACTACCATGGAAGACAAGAACCACAGCTGACTACCATGGAAGACAAGAACCACAGCTGACTACCATGGAAGACAAGAACCACAGCTGACTACCATGGAAGACAAGAACCACAGCTGACTACCATGGAAGACAAGAACCACAGCTGACTACCATGGAAGACAAGAACCACAGCTGACTACCATGGAAGACAAGAACCACAGCTGACTACCATGGAAGACAAGAACCACAGCTGACTACCATGGAAGACAAGAACCACAACTGACTACCATGGAAGACAAGAACCACAACTGACTACCATGGAAGACAAGAACCACAGCTGACTACCATGGAAGACAAGAACCACAGCTGACTACCATGGAAGACAAGAACCACAGCTGACTACCATGGAAGACAAGAACCACAGCTGACTACCATGGAAGACAAGAACCACAACTGACTACCATGGAAGACAAGAACCACAACTGACTACCATGGAAGACCAGAACCACAACTGACTACCATGGAAGACCAGAACCACAACTGACTACCATGGAAGACAAGAACCACAACTGACTACCATGGAAGACAAGAACCACAACTGACTACCATGGAAGACAAGAACCACAGCTGACTACCATGGAAGACAAGAACCACAGCTGACTACCATGGAAGACAAGAACCACAGCTGACTACCATGGAAGACAAGAACCACAGCTGACTACCATGGAAGACAAGAACCACAACTGACCACCATGGAAGACAAGAACCACAGCTGACTACCATGGAAGACAAGAACCACAGCTGACTACCATGGAAGACAAGAACCACAACTGACTACCATGAAGACAAGAACCACAACTGACTACCATGGAAGACAAGAACCACAGCTGACTACCATGGAAGACAAGAACCACAACTGACTACCATGGAAGACAAGAACCACAGCTGACTACCATGGAAGACAAGAACCACAGCTGACTACCATGGAAGACAAGAACCACAGCTGACTACCATGGAAGACAACCACAACTGACCACCATGGAAGACAAGAACCACAGCTGACTACCATGGAAGACAAGAAACCACAGCTGACTACCATGGAAGACAAGAACCACAGCTGACTACATGGAAGACAAGAACCACAGCTGACTACCATGGAAGACAAGAACCACAGCTGACTACCATGGAAGACAAGAACCACAGCTGACTACCATGGAAGACAAGAACCACAACTGACTACCATGGAAGACAAGAACCGCAACTGACTACCATGGAAGACCAGAACCCCAACTGACTACCATGGAAGACCAGAACCACAACTGACTACCATGGAAGACAAGAACCACAACTGACTACCATGGAAGACAAGAACCACAACTGACTACCATGGAAGACAAGAACCACAGCTGACTACCATGGAAGACAAGAACCACAGCTGACTACCATGGAAGACAAGAACCACAGCTGACTACCATGGAAGACAAGAACCACAGCTGACTACCATGGAAGACAAGAACCACAACTGACCACCATGGAAGACAAGAACCACAGCTGACTACCATGGAAGACAAGAACCACAGCTGACTACCATGGAAGACAAGAACCACAACTGACTACCATGGAAGACAAGAACCACAGCTGACTACCATGGAAGACAAGAACCACAACTGACTACCATGGAAGACAAGAACCACAGCTGACTACCATGGAAGACAAGAACCACAGCTGACTACCATGGAAGACAAGAACCACAGCTGACTACCATGGAAGACAACCACAACTGACCACCATGGAAGACAAGAACCACAGCTGACTACCATGGAAGACAAGAACCACAGCTGACTACCATGGAAGACAAGAACCACAGCTGACTACCATGGAAGACAAGAACCACAGCTGACTACCATGGAAGACAAGAACCACAGCTGACTACCATGGAAGACAAGAACCACAGCTGACTACCATGGAAGACAAGAACCACAGCTGACTACCATGGAATACAAGAACCACAGCTGACTACCATGGAAGACAAGAACCACAGCTGACTACCATGGAAGACAAGAACCACAGCTGACTACCATGGAAGACAAGAACCACAACTGACTACCATGGAAGACAAGAACCCAGCTACTACCATGAAGACAGACCACAACTGACTACCATGGAAGACAAGAACCACAACTGACTACCATGGAAGACAAGAACCACAACTGACTACCATGGAAGACAACCACAGCTGACTACCATGGAAGACAAGAACCACAACTGACTACCATGGAAGACAACCACAACTGACTACCATGGAAGACAACCACAACTGACTACCATGGAAGACAACCACAACTGACTACCATGGAAGACAAGAACCACAACTGACTACCATGGAAGACAACCACAGTTGACTACCATGGAAGACAAGAACCACGTAAGACATACTCGCAACACACAAAACACTCACCAGATATTCGCAATGATGACAAACATTATTTAAAACAAGAACACAGACAAGAACTATTTAAAGCAGGTGTGACGAATTTAAAGTGTCATGTATGTAAAGATCAAACTGGGACCACAGGAAAATGTGATGCCACTGTTGAATCTTGTGGTACTGATGAAGTTTACTGTCTTTGGGAAAAAAAATGGAAAAGCACATCTTCGTCAGTTGGTCCACCACGGCAACTTTCTGAACATATGCACTGTGCTACAGAAGAAGAATGTAGTGGAAGCGTCAGTGACATGGAAACATGTCCCACACCTCCATGGAAAGACTGGAATTGCACAGCTTGCTGTAAGAGTGATTGCTGCAATGGTATCATGGCTTGTAGCCATGGCACAGTGTTCCAAAACCTGAAGCTGTTAATACTGGTAGCTGGGATGCTGACAGCTCTGCAGCCTTATCTTCTTGGGTCACTGAGGATCACATAGCTAGTTTTGGGCACATATGTGATAAGATCTAGTCACATACTAGTTACAAACAAGAGACTAAATAATTGCTGGATAATTTAACACTAATCTCATCCATTCAAAAACTCACAAGATGCCAGTTTTCAGAAATCAAAATTATAATTATTGAGTCAGCTGCTACTAGACCACATCTGAACCAGTACAATAGATCCTCAAAAAAAAAAAAAAAAAATTGTCACTGACAGGAGGCCTGGTCACAGACCGGGCCGCGGGGGCGTTGACCCCCGGAACTCTCTCCAGGTAAACTCCAGGTATCAGATGGCAGCTTAAAAACGAGGATTTTTGACGAAGTCAGGTAATGCTTTAATTTCATGGTCTAGGACGCGGAGTGATCTGCATGAAGACTTAATGGAGAGGTGGATTCAGACGCTTCAAGTACAGGTATGACACGACCAGGGAGACTAAAATCAGTAAAAGCCGCTTGATAGTGATGCAAAAACGAATCCAACAGCCGTGAATCAAAGTGTACACATACATTGGAGCGGTGAATCGATTCTTGCAAGCATAAATGGGAGAGTACACGTACACACACACAAGGCTGTGACTCAACCCCTACAACCACAAACAGGTGAGCGCACGCACGAGGCCTGGTCACAGACAGGGCCGCGGGGGCGTTGACCCCCGGAACTCTCTCCAGGTAAACACAAACACACACACACACCACAGCTGACTGCCATGGAAGACAAGAGGTGGGGGGCAGGAGCCATGAATCGACCCCTGCAACCACAACTAGATGAGTACACACACACACACACACACACACACACACAAATCCTGATATAACAGATGCTTCAGCATAAACTATGACACATGTACAAACGTAAATTGAAGCGACAAAGTGAAAATATAAGAGTGTCTTGCGAGGCAAGAGCAACACAGTTGTTGCAACATTAAGAGAGCGGAAGTACCCACCAGCCTGGATGTTGTCCCTGATGATAACTACGTGGTTGTCACGGTCTGGTCTGGTGTGCTCGTGCCAGAACCCAACCACGTGACCCAGCTCGTGAACCACGATGCCGAACTTGTCGCAGTTCTTACCGATGCTCAACGCCTGGGGACCGTTCCCGCGCTTACCAACGAACGAACAGCACCTGCAACACACAACAATGTTATCACTGGAGAGAACAGCACCTGCAACACACAACAATGTTATCACTGGAGAGAACAGCACCTGCAACACACAACAATGTTATCACTGGAGAGAACAGCACCTGCAACACACAACAATGTTATCACTGGAGAGAACAGCACCTGCAACACACAACAATGTTATCACTGGAGAGAACAGCTCCTGCAACACACAACAATGTTATCACTGGAGAGAACAGCACCTGCAACACACAACAATGTTATCACTGGAGAGAACAGCTCCTGCAACACACAACAATGTTATCACTGGAGAGAACAGCACCTGCAACACACAACAATGTTATCACTGGAGAGAACAGCTCCTGCAACACACAACAATGTTATCACTGGAGAGAACAGCACCTGCAACACACAACAATGTTATCACTGGAGAGAACAGCACCTGCAACACACAACAATGTTATCACTGGAGAGAACAGCACCTGCAACACACAACAATGTTATCACTGGAGAGAACAGCTCCTGCAACACACAACAATGTTATCACTGGAGAGAACAGCTCCTGCAACACACAACAATGTTATCACTGGAGAGAACAGCTCCTGCAACACACAACAATGTTATCACTGGAGAGAACAGCACCTGCAACACACAACAATGTTATCACTGGAGAGAACAGCTCCTGCAACACACAACAATGTTATCACTGGAGAGAACAGCACCTGCAACACACAACAATGTTATCACTGGAGAGAACAGCTCCTGCAACACACAACAATGTTATCACTGGAGAGAACAGCACCTGCAACACACAACAATGTTATCATAGGACAAAACAGCACCTGGAACACACAACAATGTTATCAGAGGACAACTTCCATGATATACACACAGGATGTATCATCTTACTTGCCTCTTCTATCTTAACAGAACTAACAAGTCTTAAGTATTTCATTATTGATGGTAAGCAACACTGACAAGTTGATGAGCCAGACAAGTGCAACACTTGGGGAATCTTTATTTCGGCAATAAAGATACTCAAGTGTTGCACTTGTGCCTTAGGTTAGATAAGATTTGTCAGGAAGCAGGTCAAGTGTTTCCTGACGCTGGTCTTAGTTATATGATGACCCACAGATGAAGTTTTTGGTCATCTGACCGAGGTCTTGTTCATAAAGTCTTGAGTGTTTCTCTCCTGACACTAGCCTCATCCTGAGGATGTACTGGTTTACCTGCCTCTTCTCTTGTACTATCCTGACACTAGCCTCATCCCCTGGATGTACTGGTTTACCTGCCTCTTCTCTTGTACTATCCTGACACTAGCCTCATCCTCTGGATGTACTGGTTTACCTGCCTCTTCTCTTGTACTATCCTGACACTAGCTTCATCCCCTGGATGTACTGGTTTACCTGCCTCTTCTCTTGTACTATCCTGACACTAGCTTCATCCCCTGGATGTACTGGTTTACCTGCCTCTTCTCTTGTACTATCCTGACACTAGCCTCATCCTCTGGATGTACTGGTTTACCTGCCTCTTCTCTTGTACTATCCTGACACTAGCTTCATCCCCTGGATGTACTGGTTTACCTGCCTCTTCTCTTGTACTATCCTGACACTAGCTTCATCCTCTGGATGTACTGGTTTACCTGCCTCTTCTCTTGTACTATCCTGACAAGCCTCATCCTCTGGATGTACTGGTTTACCTGCCTCTTGTACTATCCTGACACTAGCCTCATCCCCTGGATGTACTGGTTTACCTGCCTCTTCTCTTGTACTATCCTGACAAGCCTCATCCTCTGGATGTACTGGTTTACCTGCCTCTTGTACTATCCTGACACTAGCCTCATCCCCTGGATGTACTGGTTTACCTGCCTCTTCTCTTGTACTATCCTGACACTAGCCTCATCCTCTGGATGTACTGGTTTACCTGCCTCTTCTCTTGTACTATCCTGAAACTAGCCTCATCCCCTGGATGTACTGGTTTACCTGCCTCTTCTCTTATACTATCCTGACACTAGCCTCATCCTCTGGATGTACTGGTTTACCTGCCTCTTCCCTCTTGTACTATCCTGACACTAGCCTCATCCTCTGGATGTACTGGTTTACCTGCCTCTTCTCTTGTACTATCCTGACACTAGCCTCATCCTCTGGATGTACTGGTTTACCTGCCTCTTGTACTATCCTGACACTAGCCTCATCCCCTGGATGTACTGGTTTACCTGCCTCTTCTCTTGTACTATCCTGACACTAGCCTCATCCTCTGGATGTACTGGTTTACCTGCCTCTTCTCTTGTACTATCCTGACACTAGCCTCATCCCCTGGATGTACTGGTTTACCTGCCTCTTCTCTTGTACTATCCTGACACTAGCCTCATCCCCTGGATGTACTGGTTTACCTGCCTCTTCTCTTGTACTATCCTGACACTAGCCTCATCCTCTGGATGTACTAGTTTACATGCCTCTTCTCTTGCACTATCCTGACACTAGCTTCATCCCCTGGATGTACTGGTTTACCTGCCTCTTCTCTTGTACTATCCTGACACTAGCCTCATCCCCTGGATGTACTGGTTTACCTGCCTCTTCTCTTGTACTATCCTGACACTAGCTTCATCCTCTGGATGTACTGGTTTACCTGCCTCTTCTCTTGTACTATCCTGACACTAGCCTCATCCTCTGGATGTACTGGTTTACCTGCCTCTTCTCTTGTACTATCCTGACACTAGCCTCATCCTCTGGATGTACTGGTTTACCTGCCTCTTCTCTTGTACTATCCTCACACTAGTCTTATCCTCTGGATGTACTGGTTCACCTGCCTCTTCCTTCGTACTATTCTCCCAGATTATGTCAGTAAGGCCATGATAAATCTCGTCTAAGGTACTATGTTAAAAGTGCATCAACCATGAAGACGCTTCAGGAGATTTATTCTGTCCCTGACACTCTGCCTAGGCGAAATTCCTATAGTCGCTGCTGTACATATGTCGCTGCTATATATTATAACTGTCACTGTTATATATTATATCTGTCGCTGTTATATATCTGTCGCTGTTATATATCTGTCGCTGTTATACATCTATCGCTGTTATGTATCTGTCGCTGCTATATATGTTTCGTTGATATATATCTGTCGTTATATATAACTGTCGCTGCTATATATCTGTCGTTGTTATATATTATATCTGTCGCTGCTATATGCTGCGCTGTTCCTGCACTTTTGACTCTGTAAAAGAGTGAAGAAAACTCGAGCAGGTTCAAAATCACGCTGTAAGAGTTCATTTGAACTACCCTGTCAAAACACTTGCAGCTATATGTCTACCTGGAGGTCGTTCCGGGGGTCAACGCCCCCGCGGCTTAGTCCTTGACTGGGCCTCCGGGTGAATCAGGATCTGGTCAACTAGGCTGTTACTGCCAGACACACCCAATCCACAATACGGACCACAGTTCGGCTGATCAGGCACTGAGTTAAGGTATCTGTCCAGTTCCCTCATGAAGGCAGCCAGAGGTCTGTGGGTAAGTCCACTTATGCCTGATGGGAGGCTGTTGAACAGTCATGGACCCCGGACACTATTGCCTTCTCTCTCTCAGGTGTTGAACAAGGGGTTCAACACCTGAGAAAGATTAGATAATTGAAAAAAATCAATATGTATCTTAAACTGGAAACATTAGGTGGCAATACTGGGATGTGTTTACTTAAAATACTTAGTGTTCCTGTTCACCTAGCAGTAAGTAGGTACTACCTGGGTGTTAGTAGAGTGATGTAGGTCGCATCCTGGGAACCAAGTTAACCTAATTTGCCCGAAATGTTCTACATAACAAGGGGCTTCACACAGTACGTCATTAATATCAGCTACATCTACATAAGATGTATCATGTACTTATAGAAATAAACATAATCATAACAGTAATGAGTAAAGAATAAAAAACATATCAACTTTACCCCTGAAAGTAGAGTGAACTATATAATAATAATAATAATAATAATCATAATAATAATAATAATAATAATAATAATAATAATAATAATAATAATAATAATAATAATAATAATAATGAAAAGACAGGTGTTGCCAGGTATCAATCTATGGATTACTGGATCCTCAACTCCCCCCCCCCCCTAAAAAATCCATCTTTAAATATCTAAGAGTACAGGACTGAGTACCATCATGCCAGAGTACATAAGCTGCCCTTGAACTAGCCACTGACACTGCGAACAAACCTGGAGTTTACCTGGAGAGAGTTCCGGGGGGTCAACGGCCCCGCGGCCCGGTCTGTGACCAGGCCTCCTGGTGGATCACAGCCTGATCAACCAGGCTGTTACTGCTGGCTGCACGCAATCCAACGTACGAGCCACAGCCCGGTTGGTCAGGTACCGACTTTAGGTACTTGTCCAGTGCCAGCTTGAAGACTGCCAGGGGTCTATTGGTAATCCCCCTTATGTATGCTGGGAGGCAGTTGAACAGTCTCGGGCCCCTGACACTTATTGTGTTGTCTCTTAACGTGCTAGTGACACCCCTGCTTTTCATTGGGGTAATGTTGCATCGTCTGCCGTCTTTTGCTTTCGTAGTGAGTGATTTTCGTGTTTAAGTTCGGTACTAGTCCGTCTAGGATTTTACAGGTGCATATAATCATGTATCTCTCCCGCCTGCGTTCCAGGGAGTACAGGTTCAGAAACTTCAAGCGCTCCCAGTAATTGAGGTGTTTTATCTCCGTTATGCGCGCCGTGAAAGTTCTCTGTACATTTTCTAGGTCAGCAATTTCACCTGCCTTGAAAGGTGCAGTTAGTGTGCAGCAATATTCCAGCCTAGATAGAACAAGCGACCTGAAGAGTGTCATCATGGGCTTGGCCTCCCTAGTGTTGAAAGTTCTCATTATCCATCCTGTCATTTTCCTATCAGATGCGATTGATACAATGTTATGGTCCTTGAAGGTGAGATCCTCCGACATGATCACTCCCAGGTCTTTGACGTTGGTGTTTCGCTCTATTTTGTAGCTGGAATTTGTTTTATACT